TTTTGTCACAGCTCATTTGATCAGTTTGCAACTGCACAGGGACTGGGGGTGGGACTTTGAAAGCCGTAAGCTGGGTTGCACCTTCTTGAGAAAACTTCCCAAGAATCTCCCAGTGGATTTGGAAGAATGTGGGAGGTTTGGAATTAATGACATACAACCAGGCATGGATAACCAGATACTGCTTTCAATAAAGACTAATATCAAAGCACAGGTCCACTGCAAAGAGACACTGATTTCGGTTCTGGCGCAAGGCGCATTCCAAGGTTTATTAAACAGGATAAATACTGAAACATCAGTCTCACCAATATGGTGTAGATCTTGGCCTTCTCCAATATCAGCTCCATGCCGGCTGGCATCCAGGACCAGACTACCGTCAGCAGCCGGCACACCAGCCAGCACAGATACAGGCCGCAGGCAGCAGTGTACAGCTCATGCACCACCACCCCCTTGCCCACCCAGAGAGACATGAAGAACCGGCCCAGGAAGACGGGAAGGGTGAGGCAGAGTACGCTGGCCAGCAGGAGGGTCAGGCAGAGCAGGTGCACCAGCAGGATGATCTGTCGACCAAGGATGGAGCATGAGGAGGGAGGGGTATGGCAAGAAACTGGTGCATTTAAGTGGGCCAAATCGGATACAGGAAGTACTCAGACATTTTAGCTTTTGATTTGCAGAACAAAGTCCAACAGGCCGTTGAACAGGCGCCTGATCTCAGTTTTGTAAATGGTTTGAAAACATCCCGTGTCTGCCGGTAATCTCAACTTCTGCAGTGACGCTGTTTTGCTAGGGGGCATGTGAACGGAATTATGTCCCGTTAACACAGGTCAATCTAACGGATCACGGCTTAAAGTCTTAACGGCAAAGTGCCCGTTTTGGCAGGAAGTCCAGTTCAAACTACATGCAAATGCAAAGCGTGGCATTCCTCCCAAAATTCACCTGAGTTACCTGTGCTCAACACAGTAAGCCACGGTGCAAATATTTCACTTGAATTCATCAATTTCCATTTCTATTTGTATTCATGGCAAATATAAATCATCCCTAACAAAGCACAAACATGTCATATCTAGACAAGTAATTTCTTGTTCAAACGATCAACTTTTTATAATATTGAATGACTATGACTACAGATGCAACCACTTACTCGCATAGCAAAGAAGGTAGGCTTGTTGTAAGGCTGGAATCCAGTGGGTCCCATCTGGTTGATCATGGCATGATGAGCGGCATGTAGCGCCATGCCACCGGCAGGGGCAGCAGGTGCTGCTGCAGCCGGTGCAGGAGGGGCGCCAGCCTCGGCCGGTCCCTCGGCCGCCAGCTCGTCCGGTGGCAGGGGGCCACCTTGCTCCTGCAGGTCCTCGTAGAGATGGTCGTCGTTGCCGACTGCGACATCTGCCATCTGGACAGCATCCATGTCCTCCTCTTCCTCCATGATGACATCGGAATCCTCGTCCTGCCCACTTGACATCACTTCTTCCTCTCGGTACACCAGCTCGTCAATCTCAATGTCGATGACCCCTCCTGTGGCTCCCCCTTCCAAATAGGCGTCAAGCCCCTGGGTGTCAGTATCCACCCCTTTTGCTTCCACACTGGCCTGGCCTTCAACTGGAGTGGCCGGATCAGGATTGAGATTGCCCTCTTCTGCTTCGGGTTGGGGTTCCTCCTCCCAGGGGTGTGGTCGGTCCTCCCCAAGGTGGGCTTCCGCCTCTTCTGGGTCCTGGTCGAGATGGGGCAGCTGCTGGTCATGCTGTGGTGTGGGTGCTAGGTTCTCTTCAAGCGGCACATCACCCAGTAGGTATGACCGCATGTCACTACAAAAACAAAAGTTTGCCAAACACCAAAATCAAGTAACTGTTGAGTTTGATTGACTTTGGATAGCTAGGGTGTCACTCACATCCCCAAGTCGGCAAAGAAAACTTTCAACAATAGAGAAACAACAACCCAAAGCAGCAAGGCATTAGCCCTATGCTTTAATAACCCATATCCTTCAAATTCCATCACAAGATTTTGAAGGATGGCGCAGGATTGAGGACGGTCAAGTCCAACCACTACTTTTTCAGATGGGGCTTGATGAAAGCAAAGGAAAGCCAAGAATGTCCCATAGGCATGGGTCTCACTAGGAAGGTGGGAGGGGGTTTCTGGCCCAAAACACTCATCTGAGGTGTTCAATTCTAATTTTCTGTTTGTGCACTTATTTCATGTTTCAGTTTCAAGGAAGGGTAAGCACCCCCCCGCTGCCAACCTTCTGATGCCCATGGCTGTGTGGTTGCTACATAGGACTAGATTTCAGAGGATTCAGTGAGGTTTCAATCAAAGTTTGTACAAGGAGTTGAGCATGACGCTTATAGGTTGCCAACTCACAGGAGATAGGCAGCACAGACGGTCCAGGCACGGATGATGTTCTTGAGCCACTGCCGGGTGTGGCCTTGCTCCAGGAGTGCCGGCAAGACCACCTGGAGGAGCAACAACTCCAGGGAGAGCTCGCTGACTGGCGAGTCGCTGAAAGACAAGAGAGTAGGGAGCAGTGTGACATTCAGAGCTTGAATTGAGTCCATCCCAGAACACTCTCTCACAAGTCCAGTCACAAGTCCACACTGAACTTGTCTGCTCGTGAAAACAGTGATAGATGAATCTGGTAACCATGGTAACACTACTGGTCATGTGCAGCGGCAAACACTATGATAACTACTGTAAGGAGACAATATTCCTCTGAAGTCGTTCCATTCAAATCCAACACAATGCTTTCCACCATAAGTGGGGGCCATCAGGAATGGCCAATGAAATATCAATGGGTTCGACTATGATACAGACCCCACAAAGAGTGAAAACCCAACTACGACGAGGGACACGGCGTGACTCCAGCCATACAAGTACCTGGACAGGTGTATATGATAGGGCAGGAAGGATGGGAAGAGATATCGGATGATGGTAACGGGCAGCCACAGCACCAGGAGAACCACACTTCCAAAGACAATGACTGAGAGCAGAGAGCGCCGGACATGTCTGTAGACGGGCAGGTGGATCATCTCCTGGATGGGGTTGAAGTCGGGATCGTTCAGGTTGCGGAGGAACCACAACACCCCTGGCCGCAAAACCTGTAGTAATGATTTGGAAAACAGTCACAAGTCAGTGGGAACTAAGTTTCAGAGCAATATTATACAGAATCTCATTTTCTCCTCTTTGAAAGGACAAACAAATCACGCACATGCATAGGAAAGCTCAATGTGAGGGAAAAACCAGCTCCCTATGATATCATTTTAACAACAAAACAGCACTCATCTAATCATGAAAGTTTTTACAAAATTACAAAAATTCAAACAATTATCGTAGTTAAGAACAGCAAGGGAAGGGGTTGGTTTAAAGTCAGCTCAAAGGCACAGCAACGCCACCAAACACCATATCCTTCCGCCAATGTGTCGTGAGCTCGTTACCTCTCTGAGCAGCAGGATGAAGGAGGCAAAGTAGAAGACATAGACCATGCCCACCAGCCAGTGCAGGAACATGGAGGTGCCGGGGGCTGACTGGAAGCTCTGTAGACGGTCCTGAAGAGCTGTCTCAAACATGGACTGTAGAATGGAAACCAAAATGATTACGTTAACTTTTTTGCCTGGCACATCCACACCCACAACAGGCTTTATGAGTTTTATTTATTTATTATTTTATTTCTTTCCACATTATATGGAAAAACGTCGGGCAATGTTATAAAAAAAACCATAGAGTTAAAAATCAAAAGTAACAGGGTGAATATGGAGAAGGCAAGACTGAAGAGGAACAAAATGTTCCCAACGCCGTTGTACATCTTTTGAGGATCTGATTAAAACCTCAATCTTGCTATTCAACTGACTGTGGTATTTCCAAGCCTAGCAGTTTCTGTCCTTTTAGAAATATGAATTAGGATGTGCTGTTCAGAAATGTGCTAAGGAAGTGTGCTTAAGTGCTTAGGCTAAGGATCAGAGCAACGCATCGAGGCAGCCATCATTCCACGATGCAAGGGGTGAGATGAAATCAAATAAAAAAATCTGCAACTTGTCCAGTTCTTTGGCAGCGGGGAAGGGGTGCTTCAACACACCACTCAACGACCAAATACAAGCTTACCAATGAGCAGATATCCAGCCACCAACCGCACACCAGGGGCAGAACGCCGATCTCCGTCACAACCAGCAGGAAGACTTTGAGGACAATGTAGCATAGCCCCAAGATCCGCTTGGTACGATGAAGCTTCAACAGCCCACTGAAGAACTGTTGCCAAAGACCAGCTCAGGAAAACAAGGATGCAAGAAACATTAGCAAAAGCTTAACCCTGACATTCCTTTTAGTATTAAAGCTGGACGTCTGCTTATGACCCAACCCAATAAACAAGTCACAAGCGCTACTTTAATTGGCAAGAATTGGAACAAATTCAGCCCATTACAAACAACAGAACAGAACTGTGGAACATGTTTCCTCTTCATGATGTCGATTTCACAACAGCGCTGAACTGAGCCACACAAGTTCATGAAAATGAAGCACTAAAATGTTCTTCCTCAGGTAAATTGTAAACAAACACGTGAAGAGTGCCCTTTGACACAACTTTTAAAAGCTGTTCACGTCATAAAAATTGTCACGTGGGAGTGTTCACATCAGGTTTATCATAGCGGTTTAACCCTAACCCCCAAGGGTTGCTGGCCCTAACCTTCCCCATTCACACCAAGTTAAACACCCATATGGGACTTTGTGCACAGAGGCTGTTGGACTTTGTGTTTCTGAGGTATGCCAAACCTAATGCAAAAGCCAGCTGTTATGGGCCTACCAGACCTATCCCCACAGAATTAAACACTTAACTACTGTTTAATTCTGTGTGGTCGGGGAAGGTTAGGGTTAATCAAAATGTAATTATTTCCAAGGTGGAATTAAAGTAATAAAGGAATCTTTCTTGCAAAGGTCCGATATGAATGTGATAGCATTTCGTGAATAAGAAAGTGATCCACTGGTGTTTCGCAAAGAGAGTTCTTGAGGAGACCACAGAGCAACCACATTGTCAATAACTGTGACATGACTGCTGTCACGGAACAAACAAAGGATACATGGAAGAGGATGAGCGAGGAACACAGGGTGACATAGCCACACATGGTGGTGAGCAGCCCCTCAAAACGAGACATCTTAGCCAGCTCATCCCAGCCCAACAGGAGCATGCCCAGATGACCGATGTGGTACGGACAAAAAGCTGCGAAACAGGAAGAAAGTGTAAGACCAAGACCTGTGCTGTAATCTGGTCAGCTCCTTTCTTCTTCGGAGAATACTGACAGGGACGGGAGTCCAGTTTAACCCTGCCCCCCACATTCTTTCAACGTCCAAAACTTTCAGGTAGCAGGCATAACCAAGACACTGGCCACTTTACGAGGACTTGGATCCTCCTGTATTAAGTTCAGGTCTGCAAGAATGTGTGTCTTCTACCTACCGAAGACAAAAATGAAGAGTGCATTGAGCGAGATGACCCAGAGAACATGTTCCAGGAAGATGAGGGAACCATCCAGGCCCAGCATACGCTCCCATGTCAGCTCCTCGGCAGCGCGGTCCCACTCCAATGCATTCCAGTTGATGTCATCTACAACGACAAGGGTGATCCCCTTTTTAACAACACTGGCATCGAGCTTAATTACTCAATGTAATGCAATGGGAACTCTTTTCCTTTCCACTTGGCCAAAACTTGGAGGAAATTAACAAAAGATGTATTCTAAGGCCACAAATCTTTTCTCATGCCCACAGGTTGGGGGGGGGGGGGAGAATGAGACAATCTGGTTGTGAGCTTTGGATATCAAAAATAAACTAATGACTGCAAACGGAACTTCCCCTTAACAGTCTGAGCACAGCTGACTGAACACAAATTTTGCCAGAAGGAGATCCGTGTTCCAGGGACCAATTTGATAATCAGCATTTGATACCAAATTTCAACCCCAACAGTCCTGAACCCTGCATGCTGGAAAATTCGGAACTCCATGGGTTAATGACTGCAGATGGAACATTGCCAACAATTTTGCTTCAATAAAGATCCGCATTTGAATGTGCAGTGCGTTCGGCTTTGTACCTTGGCCGGCATTCTCGGCTCCTGGGGGATTATTTGCGGCATTCTCCGCGGCTGCAGGTTGCCCTGCCCCTGCCTGGTTGCCATCGCCTGCTGCTGCTGCTGGTCCCTGATTGGCTGGCGCCTGGTGATGGGCAGGTGGTTCCTGGTTGCCAGCGGGCTGAGCTGGAGGAGCAGCATTCTGTCAACAGAAGCCAACCAAAACCAGCTAGGCCTGGATTCTTAACTCCGTGTTGTCATCAGGTTGTAAATGAGACCATTTCCTGTCAAGTCTGATCATTTCAGTACCCTACTGCCTTGTGGATGAACAGAACACCGGGGTGCTCTGAGAGTGCCTAACCACTTGCCAATGGTATTCATTCGGCCAAAAACTCAACTGTTGAATCAGGCAAGATTCACCAATCAACTGGTCAAACATGGCCAAACACCATGAAAACTGACTCTTGAAAGTTACTAGTACAATATTTGTGATAGCAATCACATTCCAATGCCCTATCAACAGTAGTAAAAAAAATCGCTTTCAACACACAGTCCATTTCAACAGACCAACTGCATGTTCTATGATTGCACAAAACTAATAGGGGGCTTGGTATATGTTTGAAGAGGCCGTCATACGCAATCAGTCACCTTCTACAACAGACTACCTCAAACTATTTACACAGCCCTCGAAGCACACTGATTAACCTGCCTGACCGACAACCAGTACAAGCGCAAACATCCATCCTAGCATCCACAAGAATACCTACAAAGATATCAAAGATTTCTTCAGAGAAAAACAAACAGAAGATCCTAACCTGATTGTTGACTGGTGCAGCGGCCGGTCGTTGTTGCTCCTGCTGCTGTTGTTGCTGCTGCTGTTGTTGCTGCTGCTGTTGTTGCTGCTGCTGTTGTTGCTGCTGCTGCTGCTGCTGCTGTTGTTGCTGTTGCTGTTGAGCTGCCGGTGCTGCTTCCCCCGCCCCGTCCACCACCCCATTGCCGGCCCTGCGTGCATCGTCTTCCAGCCACTCTGGCCCTCCGCCGTGTGTGACCTGCTCCCTCAGCCAGACCAGGCTGACAAACGCACACAGGGTGGAACCCACCACCAGCATGCCCTGCAGGATGTCGGTGACCACACTCTCCCTGCCAAAACAAAAATGCAAGAAGCTCCTGACTGCTGTTTGGCAGACTCTGCAGGATAGAGGATGGCAGAGCCTAGTCACCATCACTCACATGGGGCTTGATGAAGTTGGGGGGCAGGGTGTTCCCTAGTGTTTAGGGCCAGCGTTCGAATCCAGCTGCTGGTTACATGTTGTGACCTTGAGCAAGGCACTTTACTCCCACCAGCCTCTCCCCACCCAGGGATACATACATGTAAATGTATAGGTACCTGTGATGGCGGGAATAATTTCTGTGGTTGGTTACCCTTTGTTGCTTGAAATGGCTACATCAAGCTATATACTCCCCAGGGAGCCACGACGGTTACGGAACTCAAGGGTCAGTGACCATAGTGAAATCAGTGCACTGAGACTTTGCATGAAATGCACTCAATAGCAACAGTCCATTACAAATGGAAACAATTGTGAAGAATGCGCCACAGGTGACTTTTGGATGATTCAGACGGATTCCTATCACAAAAAGCTTCAGCTCATAATACAAACATTACTCTGCACTGCAATCAAATTAAGAAAGACTAAGGCGCTTGATATGAATGGAAATCTCCCGACTTGCTCTGCCTTTTATAAAAACACAACTTGGGGGTGGGAAATAAATTAAGTAGAGGAAACAATTTACTTTGCAAATTGCAAAACAGGTGGAATATCCCTATGTCATGTAACAAGTCCTGTTTACCGCTGCTTCTCAGCAGAATTTTGCTAAGCAGGACCAAAGCTGTGTTTTCTCCAGGCAGCTCCATAAGAAAACAGGCCAAGTTCAGCTTCAGTGGAACAGGTGCAAATCATTTTAGGAGTGCTCAAAGTCAAACAGTGTTGGCGGATCAATACTCACAGTGACAAGACATCAAATGGTAACGTCAACAGGGGAACTAGAGAAGCTTGGAAGAGGCAACGGTAGATGCGACCTGTGTGGGAAATAAAGTATGTCATTGTGTGAGAACAGACTGATGTCAAAAAGATACCAACCAGACAATCAGATTAGCTTTAAATACAGTGGCACAAACAGTAGACGCACATATCTAACCAAGCTGCCTTTAAATGCTGCCATTTGCTCACAACATTAATCAGAACTGTCTACATTTCAGCGAATAATGGACGCAACTCTGATGACAACTTCTCAAGAGGAAGTCCGTGATCATATTCGTTTTGATTGTAGGTCACTTACAGGCTGTAATTGGAACCACGCCGAGCCAAGCAAACGTGACCAAGGTGTAATGTAGCCAGCACTTGACCGCTGTCCCCATGCTCTTGGCTAGCCCACGGACAATGTCCATCACAGGCAGTCTCTTTGGCATGTCCGGAGAGTAAACTACAAATTAAGACAAACAACAAAAAAGTGCATGTTTTTGATGGCACTTACAAAGGGACAGTGTTGTAGTCAAGACCAGGCAGTCTGAGACCAAGACCGAGACCAACGATTCGAAACCAAGACCAGCAGGCTCGAGATCAAGACCACCTTTTAACTGGTCTCGAGACCAGTCTCGACAACTACAACACTGCAAAGGGGTTTACATATCTGAATGACATCAAAATCAATTTTTTTATTGTTTCTTCATCCTAGATCTAACCCTCCCCCAAATACTTATCACTTTCAACCTAATATTTAAGGATCACATGGCAGTTTCTGAATAGAATGGTTTTTCCTTTTGCAGTTCTAACAATCAACAATCTTTCCCGAAGAGTAAATATAGCTTCTACTAAAATGGATCTAGTTAAATCAGGGCACCACCAGATACCGTTTTCCTGACTTACTTGGTGTGAAGGAGAAGCGGTGCATACATAGTTCACAGTACTCTTTCTTGCTGTGCTTCAACCACTGGACCAGACTGCAATGAAAAAAAGCACACTGGGGCTTTCAAGTGCTACACTGCAGCAGCAACATTTTGAGGAAAGTAGGGGAGATATCTATGGAGGGCTTAAGACCCGGACCAGCTT